GTATTGTCTGCAATATTTTACAAAAAAATGAAATGATTATCAGATATATCAGAGAAAAAAAATTAAACAACATTGTAGAATATTTTTCTTATAAATATCCAAAGACATGTTTTTTAATTATAATGTTTGCGTATTTAGGAAATTTATACTAATTTTTCAATAAAATAGAAAAGTTTTTAAAAAGAAGAAACTAGACACGTTACAAAAACAAATAAACCTTATTTACTTTATATTTTCAATAAGAATAAAATAATATAACTTAATTTACAAATATAGAAAAAAAAAATATAGAAAATAAATTTAAAAAAAAATTTTTAATATTATAAAATAAAACAATGAAAATAGAAATAGATTTTAAAATCGTTGTAATTAAAAACCCGATGAAACGAAAAAGATACTACCACAATTGTTCCCTTTTTTAACAGCATCTACAGTTATTAGTTGCAACACAAAAAGAAATACTTGTGTATGCTAACCCATGATAAAGATATCTCACATTCACAGAAAGTGTGAAAAGTGTAAGAGAAAAAAAATGCATCTACCTGAGTTTCAAAAAAATATATATTATATTTACTTGGATTAGGACGGCGTATCTTTCTGTCGACAAATATTCTACAATTTTCGTCTCTATCTATGGCTATCGTATTTAGCATTCTATCTTGATGGATAGAATTTTGAAAATATTAGTTTTTGTCTGCTACCTACACCCCAAGGTCGGTTCCTTTTCATGAGAAAAGAATTATAAAAAACAGGGAAGGTCTGTTGAAATTCGATCTACATTTATTATCTTTATTATCGATGCGATAATATTCATGCCTATAGTTTTTTTTTTACAACTTGTCATATCTTTTCTATTTAAAAATGTTTCTATTTTATTAAAAAATTTATATTAAATTATTTATTTCGCAAATATTGTAATTAACGATTACGAAATATATAGAATATAATAATTGTATTGTCTGCAATATTTTACAAAAAATGAAAAGATTATCAGATACATCAGGGAAAAAGAATTAGAGAATACTGTTGAATAAATGAGGAGCAGCTGACAAATTCCATTCAAAAGCAAGTAAATTACTGTTATATTTTTATTTTGCTTCTTCATAAAATATATTTGATGCATAAAGACAAAATATGTCTATTAAATTTGTTTTTTATATGTTTTTATGAAAAATATCCAAAGAGATGTACTGACCCATGCATATATGAAAATTATATTACAAATTGTGATATTTGTGCATTTAAGAAACTTCTACTAATTTTTCAATAAAATAAAAACATTTTTAAGATGTTGAACGCCCATCAAAAATTTGTTGGGGTGTCAAACACCCCATGTGCACTTTAAGGGTTATAATAATGTAGTGCGTAATAACCGATAAACTCATTTTTTTTTATTAATTTTGACTTATTAAGACCACTTTCATAATTATGACACTTACATATTTCATTTATTTTTTTTTTCCATATGGACCGTTTTTTTAATTTTATTTTCAAACTTGTCCAAAAGTTAATTTTTGTCCTTGTTTATTTTTCCATTACGATGAAAATGATATTCTAATCTAGGACATCGTTATCAGAAGGTAAATGATTGAGAACAAAAATTATCCTTTTTTTCACGGTTTGTGGAACATGCTCGTTGGTTCGTTCAAACGTGATTTTCATTTGAAACGCATGCACACGCATGCAAAACGCACGCAATCGCATTGTTTATGTATGCATAAACAATACAAATAGTTTACCAATGTAATTTTTTTGTTTCTATTTATTTAGAGGAAAGTGAAGAAAGAGATTCTGTTCGTCTGAAACAAAATGAAATCATATATTTAACATTTGGCGTGCGGGCAACGTATTTTTACGTTTTTCGTAATCTGTCACTAAAGCGCGGGTCACGTAAAAATACGTATTTAGTAGATTTTTGATGAATTACGGGTGACGTATAATTACAACGCAGCGAATTGGATAAAGCGTTTAGATATGTATATGGATGAATTGTGCATTTTTCAATGCACATGTAATACATAACTCGACGAAAATGCAAAAAATAAGATAGAAAAAATGTTTCATCAAACTCCTGCACGATTTCCGAAAAAATGCCCGCTGCACATGTAACTTGACGGTGAAGTAAATCCGCATGCCATGTGTTAAACTTTGTTTCATATAACTTTCGCAAGATCTTCTTTCATTTAGTAGTCACCTTTACGATGGATGCTTTAGCAATTATGGTAGTTTAACCAATGTAGTTTATGGTCAAAATTGTAATTTATTTTTCTTTACGTTTATTTTTATTTTATGTTAATATAATTTAAAGTCGTATCTGCTCGTAGTTGTTTCGAAAAAGGGTTCAAAGTTCTTCTTCTTCTTCTTCGAAAGAGAGAGAAAGAACCCTTCTTCTTTCCATCTCTTTTCTAACATTTATTCAAAAGGTAATTACTCTTTCTTTCTATTCGACTAGACAAGATGTTCTTACGTTGCATGGTCAACTACCTGTCGTAATATATGTAACCTGTCTCAACAAGCGTATTCCGCTACGTGATTCTTTAATATGCAGTTACACAATAGACTCGTTGAAATTTCTTATAATATTCGGCACAAGGCTGACTAAACTACGATCTCGAGTAAAATTTTCGTAATAAGATAAAATTGACAAAAACAAAAAGGATAAAAGATATATATATATGAGCCGTTCAGTGCATACATCGATTAACTCCATAAAAGAAAAAGTTGAGAAATGTGATGAAATAATGTATATTGTTCTTTAAATTCCATTCAATGGCCAAACAAATTTTGCCGTTTAATGGTGTTAACACTAGATTCACGGATGTTTTGTTCAATATTTTTTAATGACTTACAAACATTGTTTAAATGAAGGATTGAATAGAGGGTAGTATCTAATATTTAAATATATTTTATTACTTAACTAAAAAAAATAACATATATTTTTAAAAATATACTATTTAAGTTTTATATATTTGTATCAAAAAAATGTGAAATGAATCAAATTGGCTCAGTTCGTAAATCTAGTGTTAATCTTTATTATTCAGGAAAGTTATTATAAATATACAAAGTTATGACTATACCAAGTGCTTTGACACTTAAATTTAAGATTTTTCAAAAAGTGGAGTTAATCGATGTGTGCACTGAACGGCACATATTACGGCATATATTAAAATTATTATAGAAATGTTCTTCTTCTTAGAACTACTTTTGTTATCCCTAACTAAACTATTGGATTGACAAGAAAGTAATTTTGGCTTGCACCAATAGATAGTGTTATGTTTGTTTCGTTATTCTTTTGTTAATGTGTTAGAATTGTTAAGTTATTTAATTTAAAGTTCATTTTTTGTATAAAAAGTTAACACAATCGTGGCCGATATATTTTTTCTTTTTTTAATACTGAGTAACGGCAAAAATAATGAATTATTTAATTAATTTGTATATTAAAAAAATTATATTTATATATACATTTATATTTAGTTATTGCAATATAATATTTAAATAATTATATTTTATTATATTATTATTATTATTATTATTTATTATTTATTATATATATATATTCTATATATTTCTAACAAATTTATATTTTTAATCAATAACTTAATCAACCTTGTTATCAACAACCTTTCTTCATCTAGTATGCAAATTTTTAATATCAAATTGATAAAAATCAATCGGTTATTGATAAAAACATACAAAATTTGACATTTGCAGAAACGACATTACTTTTCGATCCACCTAATATTAATACGTAATAATATAATATTATATAAAAATAAATATATTACTTATATTATATAAATATTACACACATATTATTATATATAATATTATAAAAAATAATATTAAGTATATATTTATTAAATATTATATATTATAATTCTTTAAATATAAATAATAATAAATAAATTTTAATTAAATATAAATATAAATAATAAATTAAATATAAATGATTTAAATATAAATTTTTTATTAT